AGCCATTGGGTGAGAGAGAATGAGTGTGTGGGAATGACTCTGTAATGCAATTATTAGGATTTTGGTGAGGTGGGAAAGCCCAGGTCCAGTCCTCCTGCTTAAACCATTCTTTCATTATTGATCCCCAATGAGACAGCTTCAACAGGAGAGACTTAGGGAGATCCGCATCAGAATATCTTGTAGCTCAGTGGTTTGTGAATGCTCTTGAGATGTGGGAGACCCCTGTTCAACTGCCCCCGGACAGCCATGGGGAGTTGAACCTGAGTCTTCCACATCCCAGGTAAGTGCTCTAACTAGTGGGCTACAAGTTATAACATGGGTACCACTGCCACCTCCTCTGGTCATTTTGTTTGGCATGAATTCATTCATTTGAATTCATTCAAAGAATTTCTTAGGCACCTAAGCCAGGTGGAAGATGCTTGTTCATGGATTTTTTGAAGCAGAGCTAGGCACCTCTCTACAGCCCAGACTTTTAAGTTGCCTGTCTTCAAAAGGGGGACCGGGCTTAGCACACCCACCTCTTGTTGGCATTTCCCATTAGCTAGCTTAGACAGCTCCCTGCCTAGTGGCTTGGCTTTTGAGGATCTCAATCTAAGAGTATGTCTACATTGCAATAAAACACCCACCACTGGCCCATGTCAGCTGACTTGGGTTCCTGGGGCTCAGGCAGTGGGGCTGTAAATTTGCAGTGTAGATGTTTGGGCTTGGGCTGGAGCCTGGGCTCTGGGACCTCGTGAGGGTGGAGGATCCCAGAGCCCAGGCTCCAAGCCTGGATGTCCGCACTGCAATTTTATAGCCCCCAGATCCCAAGTCAGCTAACGCAGGCCAGCCATGGGTGTCTTATTGCAGTGTAGACATACCCATTCATTGTATACAGAAAATGTGGAAATCGCAGAGGTGCTTAATAGCTTCTTTGTTTTGGTTTTCACCAAGAACCTTGATAGTGATTGGATGTCTAACATAGTGAATGCCAGTGAAAATGAGGTAGGATCAGAAGAGGCTAAAATAGGGAAAAAGAACAAGTTAAATATTACTTGGACAAGTTAGATCTCTTCAAGTCACCAGGGCTTGATGAAATACATCCTAGAATACTCAAGGAGCTGACTGAGGAGACATCTGAGCCATTAGCAATTATCTTTGAAAAAGCGGCAGAGTGTCCTGTGGCACCTTATAGACTAACAGACATATTGGAGCATAAGCTTTGGTGGGTGAATACCCACTTCATCACATGCATGTAGTGGAAATTTCCAGAGGCAGGTATAAATATGCTTCAATTCATTTGCAAATTTGACACCATCAGCTCAGGATTAAACAAAGACTGTGAATGGCTAGTCAACTACAAAAGCAGTTTCTCCTCCCTTGGTGTTCACATCTCAGCTGCTGGAAGAGGGCCTCATCCTCCCTGATTGAACTAACCTCATTATCCCTAGCCTGATTCTTGCTTGCATATTTATACCTGCCTCTGGAAATTTCCACTACATGCATCCGATGAAGTGGGTATTCACCCACGAAAGCTTATGCTCCAATATGTCTGTTAGTCTATAAGGTGCCACAGGGCTCTTTGCCGCTTTTACAGATCCTGACTAACACAGCTACCCCTCTGATACTATCTTTGAAAAGTCATGGAAGACGGGAGAGATTCCAGAAGACTGGAAAAGGGCAAATATAGTGCCCATCTATAACAAGGGAAATAAGAACAGACCAGTCATCTTAACTTCTGTGCCTGGAAAGATAATGGAGCAAATAATTAAGCAATCAATTTGCAAACATCTAGAGGATATTTTGCTAAGTAACTGACATCATGGATTTGTCAAGAACAAATCATGTCAAACCAACCTGACAGCTTTCTTTGAGGGGGTAACAAACTTCATGGATGGGTGAGGGGAGTGGTAGATGTGGTATATCTTGACTTTAGTAAGGCTTTTGATACTGTCTCGCATGACCGTCTCTTAAACAAACTAGGGAAATCCACTACTATAGTAGGGAGCTATTATAAGGTGGGTGCATAGCTAGTCGGAAAACCATTCCCAGAGAATAGTTATCAGTGGTTCACAGTCACGCTGGAAGGGCATAAAGAGTGGAATCCAGCAGGGATCAGTTCTGGGTCCAATTCTGTTCCATATCTTCATCAGTGATTTAGATAATGGCATAGACTGTATGCTTATAAAGTTTGTGGATGATAGCAAGCTGGGAGGAGTTGCCAGTGCTTTGGAGGTTAGCATTATAATTCAAAATGATCTGGACAAACTGGAGAAATGGTCTGAAGTAAATAGGATGAAATTCAGTAAGGACAAATGCAAAGTACTCCACATAGGAAGGAACAATCTGTTGCACACATACAAAATGGGAAATGACTGCCTAGGAAGGAGTACTGTGGAAGGGATATTGGGGTCATAGTGGACCACACCTAAATATGAGTCAACAATGTAACACTGTTGCAAAAAAAGCAAATATCATTCTGGGATGTATTAGCAGGAGTGTTGTAAGCAAGATGCAAGAAGTAATTCTTCTGCTCTACGCCGTACTGATTAGGCCTCAACTGAAGTATCGTATCCGGTTCTGGGCGCCACATTTCAGGAAAGATGTGGACAAATTTGGAAAAAAATCCAGAGAAGAGCAACAAAAACGATTAAAGGGCTAGAAAACATGACCTATGGGGGAAGATTGAAAAAACTGAGTTTGTTTAGTCTCGAAAAAAGAAGACTGAGAGGGGACATAATAACAGTTTTCAAGTATATAAAAGGTTACAAGGAGGTGGGAGAAAAATTGTTGTTCTTAACCTCTGATGATAGGACAAGAAGCAATGGGCTTAAATTGCAGCAAGGGAGATTTAGGTTGGATGTTAGAAAAAACTTCCTAACCGTCAGGGTGTTTAGCCAATTTATTCCAGTGCTTAGGGAGGTTGATGGAAATTCCACATTGGAGATTTTTAAGAGCAGATTAGACAAATACCTGTCAAGGATGGCCTAGATAACGGGTGAGCAAACTTTTTGGCCTGAGGGCCACATCAGGGAACAGAAATTGTATGGCAGGCCATGAATGCTCAAAAAATTGGTGAAGGGGTGCTGGGGTGGGGCTGGGGATGAGTTAGGGGTGCAGGGCGGTGCTCCAGGCTGGGATCGAGGGGTTTGGAGAGCAGGAGGGGGATCAGAGCTGGGGCAGGGGGTTGGGGATTGGGGAGAGGCTCAGGGGGTGCAGTCTCTGAGCAGCGCTTACCTCAAGTGGCTCACAGAAGCAGTGGCTTGTTTCTTCTCTGGCTGTTACACAGAGGCACAGCTAGGTGGCTTTGCATGCTGCCCCTTCCACAGGCACTGCCTCTGAAGCTTCCATTGGAGTGTGTAGGAGTTGGAGCGGGGCCATGCCGCGGCTTCCAGGAGCCGTGTGGTGCGTCCCCCAACCCTGCGCCCCAGCCAAAGTGGGGACGAGACGTGGTATGGCTCGTGGGCTGGCTTAAAACGGCTTGTGGGCCAGATCCAGCCTGCAGGCCGGCCATAGTTTGCCCACCCCGGTCTAGATAATACTTAATCCTGCCAAGAGTGCAGGGGACTGGACTAGATGACCTCTTGAAGTCCCTTCCACTCCTATGATTCTATGACTGTATAGAGAGCCTAGGCACCTAACTCAGCATTATGGATCTCAGTTTTGTTTTTGGATTTTCTAGGCACCTAAAAGTTAAGCACCTTCACGCTCAGCATTGCAATGCTTGAGTCCCTTTGTGCATTCCACTTCTCATGCCTACTGCAGTTCAGTATTTTGCCCGTATCAGTACCCTTTATTTAATCTCTTAGCCAGTTTTCAATCCACAGGACAGTGACCTATTTAAGATCATTTGAATTCCTTTTTTTGTTAAGATTTTGTGAGAAACTGTATCACATGCTTTACTAAAATCCAAGATATATAACATCTTCTGTAGGCCCATCATCAGCTGCTAATGTAATTCTATCAAACATATTGATAGGACAAATTCACAATGCATAACTTTATTCACTCCAATATCTCTAGATACTCATAGTCCTAAGAGTCCCTCAAAAACATTAATATATAATAGTCATAAAATATAATTGAGATCAAGTGCTTAATGGGAGTTTAAAAATGACTGAATATTTAGGGGAAGGATTGTCTTTTGGTTAAGGTACTGAAATGAGGTTTAGGCGATATGAGAGCAATTCCCAGCTGTGTCACAACTTTCTCTGTTACCTTGCTGGGCAAATCATTTAATATTTCTGTGCTTCAGTTCATAATATGTAAAATGGGGATAATACTTCCTTTCTCCTACTGTTTGTCTTGTGTATGTATATATTGTAAGCTCTTTGAGACAGAGACTGTCTGATAGTATGTAAACACGTAGGCCCAGTTCCACAGATATTTAGGCTTCTTAGGAGCATATATAGCATATAGTACACATAGCATATAGTATAATTGCATCCCATTCTCAGTTGGGGTCACTAGGTGCTAATGTAATAAAATAATAACTATATGGGTAATGAGACTGTCCAGAATTACATTGGATAGGATAACTTTTTTTTATAAGAGGTATAAAGTATAACGCTTCAGTGTCTAAGCTGATCTCTGACAGGGGTTAGGAAAAAACTTCTCTTATGGACACGATTTTCGGTAACTGTCTACTGTGGGGTTTCTTGCACCTTCTTCTTAAGCATCTGATGCTGGCAACTGTCAAAGACAGGATACTGTACTAGAAGGACCCCACTATTTGATCCAGTGTGAGTGTTCTCATGTGACAAAAGTATTGCTATTTTATTTATTTATTTATGTTTTAAATCTAGCAAGATTTATTTTTTACAGCCCTCAATCCTAACAGTGCTTCTTATTGATCCTGGTTTCTTTACCCTTTAGATGTTTAGTGATTGATTTTTTTTTTCTGTTAATACCTTCTACTAAGAACATTTCCCCCCTAATCTGGTCCTAACTGAATCTAGGGACTGAAAGGAAATTTGGTGTGGGTGATATAACTGGTGAATCCATCTATCCTTTTTCCCTAGGCCTATGGAATTGTGTGGAAAGCAATTGATCGCAGGACAGGAGAAATAGTTGCTGTCAAGAAGATCTTTGATGCTTTTAGGAACAGAACAGATGCTCAGGTAAGGAACTGTTTTACCAATGTGTGATCAATGGCTCCATGTCTAGTTGGCAGCTGGTGTCAAGTAGAGTGCCCCAGGGGTCGGTCCTGGGGCCGGTTTTGTTCAATATCTTCATAAATGATCTGGAGGATGGTGTGGATTGCACTCTCAGCAAATTTGCGGATGATACTAAACTGGGAGGAGTGGTTGATACGCTGGAGGGCAGGGATAGGATACAGAGGGACCTAGACAAATTGGAGGATTGGGCCAAAAGAAATCTGATGAGGTTCAATAAGGATAAGTGCAGGGTCCTGCACTTAGGACGGAAGAACCCAATGCACAGCTACAGACTAGGGACCGAATGGCTAGGCAGCAGTTCTGCGGAAAAGGACCTAGGGGTGACAGTGGACGAGAAGCTGGATATGAGTCAGCAGTGTGCCCTTGTTGCCAAGGAGGCCAATGGCATTTTGGGATGTATAAGTAGGGGCATAGCGAGCAGATCGAGGGACGTGATCGTCCCCCTCTATTCGACATTGGTGAGGCCTCATCTGGAGTACTGTGTCCAGTTTTGGGCCCCACACTACAAGAAGGATGTGGATAAATTGGAAAGAGTCCAGCGAAGGGCAACAAAAATGATTAGGGGTCTGGAACACATGACTTATGAGGAAAGGCTGAGGGAACTGGGATTGTTTAGTCTGCAGAAGAGAAGAATGAGGGGGGATTTGATAGCTGCTTTCAACTACCTGAGAGGTGGTTCCAGAGAGGATGGTTCTAGACTATTCTCAGTGGTAGAAGAGGACAGGACAAGGAGTAATGGTCTCAAGTTGCCGTGGGGGAGGTTTAGGTTGGATATTAGGAAAAACTTTTTCACTAGGAGGGTGGTGAAACACTGGAATGCGTTGCCTAGGGAGGTGGTGGAATCTCCTTCCTTAGAAGTTTTTAAGGTCAGGTGTGACAAAGCCCTGGCTGGGATGATTTAACTGGGAATTGGTCCTGCTTTTGAGCAGGGGGTTGGACTAGATGATCTCCTGAGGTCCCTTCCAACCCTGATATTCTATGATTCTGAAAGACCTGCATGGTGAGTTCAGGGGTACTTCAAAGAGTCACACATTGACCTAGATGGGTAGATCTCTGGAACTTGTTGCCACAAGATATTAAGGACAAGAGTGTAGTAAGTGATTTGACATTTATATGGGCAATAAGAATATCACCCTCTACAGCTTACACTAGTTTGGCTACCTCTTACACATTTTTATCCTAACTTCATGTGTCATGATGTAACTAACCACTGACTGGCTGATGTTGAGAAGAAACTTCCTCCATAGACATGTAAATATTTTCATGTTACCAAGCAATTAGATTTTCCCTAGTCTGACCCCCACACATGGTACTCTGCTCCTTAATAAATGGGGTTTAACCATCGTACTGGGCAGTCACTTCCTCTTCCATCTATTATCTTATTGCTATGACAGTAAATATTTTTGTTTCTTTCTAGAGAACATTCCGGGAAATTATGCTCCTGCAGGTAAGTAACACCTGTCTTCTGCCCTCTGATGTATCCTTTAGCTCTCCTTTGTATCTCTTCCAGCCAGCATTCGCTTCTTTCCTTCTCATCCTTTAGTTACAGTGCAGTGACTACTGCCACTACCTCTTGTCATATCTCAATCATTCTTTTCCGTGTTGTCAGTCTCAGCAGTAGCAAGCAGTCTTTCCATGCCTTTTATTTATTTATTTTTAAACTAATCTGGTGGTGTTCCTCCCAGAGTGTGTCCGTCTGACTTGTTTGTGGCTTCACTACTCTTTTATCTTCTTAACTATGCACCTGTCATTGTTTCTGATCTATAATCGGTCTCACTCCCCCTGCCTTCTTTCTTCCCTTTTCTAAATGATATATCCTGCACACAGCCAATCCTTGGTTTTAGCTCTTGTGTATTTTATTAGATGCTCTGGTAGGGAGGTCATGCTGTCAGGTTTGGAAGTCCTTGTGTGGGGAAGGAGGGCATGTGGTGCTCAAAACCAGAGGCCCTGGTTGGGTAGGGAAGAAGGTGAAAGATGTTCCTTACTTCACCTGTGAGGGAGAGAGCCTGATCATCTGAAATAACCAAAACTTGACAGACTCCTGTAAAATGTATTGTAAGGAGCAATTCTATACATAGATTCGAAGGTCAGAAGGGATCATTGTGATCATCTAGTCTCACCTCCTGTATTATACGGGCCACAGAACCTCTCCAAAATAATTCCTAGAACATATTTTTTACTAAAACATTTCAACTTGATTTAAAAATTGTCAGTGATGGACCATCCACCACAACCTGTGGTAAATAGTTCCAATGGTTAATTACTGTGACTGTCAAAAATGTATGCCTTATTTCCAGTCTGAATTTGTCTACTTTCAACTTCCAGCCACTGGATCATGTTATATCTTTCTCTGCCAGATTGAAGAGCCCACTATTAAATATTTTGTTCCCCCGGGAGGTGCTTACACACTGTAATCAAGTCACCCCTTAGCCTTCTCTGTATTAGACTCAAAGAGCTCAGTTGATTTAGCTTACCCCACTATAGGGCAAGTTTTCTAATCCTTTCATCATTCTCGTGGCACCCTAGCATAATAAATCGTACAATAAATTTAAGTCTCAGCAGCATTAAAATCAATTCCACAGGAACTCAGCCAGCCAGCCACCTTGCTACTGCCTTCATCATTTATGAAGCATACCTTCTCCAGAGACACTATCGAACAGAACTGATATTATTAGGCAGATGATTTTATCTTTGTATGTAGCATTGCTGCGACTGATACTGCAATACTATATCCAGTTCTGGTGTCCACATTTGAAAAAGGTTATGTAATAATTTGAGAGGGAGCAGAGAAGAGCCAAAAAATGACTTAGTGAGAGAGTTAGGAGGCTCAATCTGTTTAGTTTATAAAAAGGCAACTTGATTACAGTGTACAAGTACCTTCACTGGGAGAAAATACTAGGAGGGATAGCTCAGTGTTTGGGGGGAAGGTTAGCTCAGTGGTTTGAGCATTGGCCTGCTAAACCCAGGGTTGTGAGTTCAATCCTTGAAGGGGCCATTTAGGGATCTGGGGCAAAAATTGGGGATTGGTCCTGCTTTGAGCAGGGGGTTGGACTAGATGACCTCCTGAGGTCCCTTCCAACCCTGAGAGTCTATGATTCTATGAATTAAGAGGTTCCTTAATCTAGCAGAGAAAGACATAACTTCCAGCCATTTGCTCTTGTTAAGACAGACAAATCCAAATTAGAAATAAGGCACACACATTTAATAGTGAGGATGATTAACCATTGGAAGAAATTCCCAAGGGAAGTGGTGTATTCTCCGTCTTGTGAAGTCCAAATCAATTCTAGATGCCTTTCCTGAAGATATACTTTAGTCAAACAGAAGGTTTGGGACTCAATACAGGAGTAACTTGGTGAGATTCTATGGCCTATGTTATACAGGCGGTCAGACTAGATAGTGTGATGATTCCTTCTGGCCTTAAAAATCTATGAATCTGAAAAACTAATTATAGATGATGCAAGTAGTGACCACTATATTAAGCTTGCTTAATTCTTCCTTTGATAACCCCTTATTTGCAGTTGTTTATATCTTTGCTAAATTTAAACTATTTGGGTTGCAGTTTTCCATGCTTGGGCTCTGCCTCAGGTTGGATTTTTAAAAAAGCTTTCAGTACAAATGATGTAGCCATTTTTAAGACTAAGCTGGTAGTCGGGGGTGGGGAGGATAGGAAGATTTTCCAGTATAAGCCACTTTCTCTGACCAGTTTTTGGAGAGCTCAGGCATTTCAAAACTTTAAAACAGGAACTTGAAATTTGGTCAGGGGGTAGTTGTTGGGTCAGAGGTGTGCTTTTTGCTATTCCTGAAAAAATGTGTTTAGATCTTGCCATATAATAAGAGCAATTGCTTTTCACACATGTACAGTAGAACTTCTTGAATGTTTTGTGCTTAATTTTCTGAACATTTTATCTGAACTGTGCATGCTCCACTGCATCATTGAGCTTCTGACATCATTCTGAAGTGAGCATACAGAGCTGACTCTCTGGATGAGAAAAAGACACAAAGGTGGTGCTAATATTACAGAATTTGGAATATGTATAATGAATGAGTCAGAGGACTGTTGGAAGAGAAAGGATGGTCTTGTAGTTAAGGCAGTTAGTTGATTGTGCACCATGAAAACTGAATTCTGCCCTGATTCTGCCTCAGACGTCCTATGTAATGGTGGGCAAGTCACTTAAACCAAAACTTTCACTACCACTGCTATTCTGGGTGGTCAGTTTGAAACACCTACAGCCTAATTTTCACAAGTGCAGCACACTCACAAATGCAGTTAAAAGCAATGGGTACTGCAATGACTTAGCACCTCTGAAAAATCAGGTCCTGGGGTCTCTTCAGTAAGGCATCCAGTCATCGAGGAACCCAAAATTAGTGGTCACTTCTGAAAATTTTGGCCTTAACCTTGGTATGCCTCAGTTCAACATCAGTAAAACAGGAATAATCATATCACTCACTTCATAGGGATGTTGTGCAGATAAATTCACTGTTTCTGAGGCACTCAAACTGTAATGATGAGCACTATAGAAAAGGTTTCAGAGTAGCAGCCGTGTTAGTCTGTATTCGCAAAAAGAAAAGGAGTACTTGTGGCACCTTAGAGACTAACAAATTTATAGACTATACTATGCTATAGAAAAGGAAATTACTAATTCTGTCTTTATTTCAGAGTTTGGGTTGTGAACAGTAAATAAGGAATGGGGCCATTTATTGAATAATCAGAATAAAGGAGACTAATGCAAACCTTTAACAGTGACATCCATAGTGTTATAGCAAATTAACTTCACAAATTCATGGAAAGTATGACAATGAGCCATGCTGATGTGTTTATGTAGTTGATACAAAAGCATAAGAAGTTACTGTTAAGGCTTTCCATTAGAGTGTGAGTTTAATGAAGTTGGAGTGTGAATTACTTTTGGGTGTCTGTTGACATGGAAGTGAAAGCCTTGTGGAGCATTGTACTGTATTATCAACAGTGTTGTAGACAGTATGAAGGTGGAAAGGAATGCACAAGTTCCACTTAACCTTAAATGCATGGAAATAAGTTTTTGGTGGATGTGGTGTATCCTGCTTCAACTTTAACTGTCACTAAACATAGGGTTTTTGTGATAACAATAATGATGGTAATGCTTAACATTTATATATGTTTCACCATTATTATCACACTTCTATAATCAAATAGTTCTTCGCTTTAAATACTAAGTGTGTGGATTGATGTGGATATTCGGGTTTTGCAGTTATTTTGTGTATAATGCTTTTTGGTACTAAAGTGTGAAGAGGAGTAACCTGAGAGCCAAGTGGGAGGGTTGTGTAGCTTAAGTGGCAGCTCATACTACAGAGCAAGGTAGGCTTTTTATTTATTCCCTAAAAAAAGTCTGTATTTTAGTAGAGACACAATGAAGGGAATAACCTCCTGGTCTTTATTTTGGAGTGTAATCTTTCGTATAATAGGTTCAGTCACTTGACTCTGACAAGTGGGTCTTATTTCCCTGCAGGAATTTGGAGAACATCCAAATATCATCAAGCTGCTTAATGTCATCCGAGCTCAGAATGACAGGGATATTTACCTGGTTTTCGAATCTATGGGTAAGACCCACCACTGCTTCAGCTGTTTACATTCTTTCTCTCTAAAGAATGAATTTCATTCACTGCCTTGAAAGTAGCAAAATAGAAAGATTCATGTAATGAGATAAATGTGAATGTTGGTGGAGCTAGATGGAAAAGTGAACCAATGAATGTGGTGAAGTTAGTGGGGAAGCAATTGCATAGGAATTGATTTGGAAGTGGGACAATGGCAGGCAGATTGGGAGGGATAAAGTGAATGGGTGTCTAGGTGCAATTTTGGGGTAATGAGGAGAGTGGGACAGTAAAACAATTTAAGAGGATAAATGAATGAGTGACTATAGATGGGTGGATGTAATGTAGGATGTGAGTGGAACAATAAGTCCCATTGTAATTTTTCAGTTACTGTCTAGTCTTTGCTTTCAGTGAAGTATTTTTCCCTGCCCTAAGTGAAGTTCAGGAAATAGAGCTGCAGTAGTTCAAGAAATAGGGCTATAGCAGATACAACTTTTTCAATGGCTGTCTTGCTGAGCTTCTGTTTAAAAATGAGCTAGAGAGCTTAGAGTTTGGAGAACAGACTTGATGCCCTAGCTTTGGGTTCCTTTCACTCCCAAACAATAATTCTCTAATGTTCTATGTTAGAGACAGATTTACATGCTGTGATCAAGAAGGGGAATTTGCTGAAAGACATCCACAAGTGTTACATCCTCTACCAACTCCTGAAGGCAACCAAATTCATCCACTCAGGGAATGTCATTCACAGAGACCAGAAGGTACATTTGCACTCACTAGGCCTTACCTAAATGGAAAGATTTGTCCTCCATTCAAGACTGGAGTTAAATGATATATGTAGGGGGGTGAAGGGAGTGAAGAGAAAAGAAAATGACCATAGTATCACATGACCTTTAGTAGGTCATGTATACCTTTTGTTTCGGTTTCCTCCTAACGCCCCTAAAAGCACTCTGTCCCTGGCAGGGGGAAGTGCAGCCTGACATGGGTTTTTATTTCCTCCCTTTCTGCCCTATACAGAGAATAAAGAAATTCTTATGAATGTTTGTGTTCAACTACAGCCCTCAAATATCCTGCTGGATGCGGACTGCTTTGTTAAGCTTTGTGATTTTGGACTGGCTCGCTCCCTTTGTCAGATCCATGAGGACCAAGGCAGCCCTGCACTGACAGAGTATGTGGCAACACGCTGGTACCGAGCCCCTGAGATCCTGCTTTCCTCTCATAGGTAATTGAAAGACTGGGAAACAATCTGCCTGATGTCTCTGAGATGGGCTATTTTGAGATGGTTTGGGAACCCAATTTTGGTTTTATTATACACCCTTGAAACACTGTCAAGAAAACTTAACAGTTGAGGTAAAAATCTTATAGTCCACCCTTACCACAAACACCAACACATGCAATCCCTTGTCCCCAATTCTCTTTACACATACAACCATGCACACCTGAACTCCTCTCTCTACATTGGTCTCTTGCACACCAGACAGCCCTGCATTCATCTGCTACTCAGCCCCCACCATTCGCTTGACTTTCACCCAGTTCTTCGTCACATATACCAAATTAATCTTTTCAAAATCTGGAAAATGCCTCAGCCTTTCTTTTCAAGTCTGGCCTTAAGTGTTCCCCAATGACAATCTTTTCTCCTTATCTCCTGGCTGCTCCACTTGAAAAACTGCTTCCCTAGTCCCTGTGGAGGGGCTCTGGGGGGGCTTTGCTCTGTCAATTCTCTTGGTCAAGGAGAAGCCACTGGAGCTGATAAGACTTTTTTTTTTTTTTTTTTAAATCCCACCTAGGATGTCATCTGTTCCCTTCACTAGGCCTAGGAATAGGATTGCTAGAGCTGGATGAAAGCTTCTTTTCACCCCTAGACACTGGCTGTTGGCAGGAGACTTTTGAGCCTAGCCTCAGCCAATTTTAAGTGAGGAGGAAACAAACCTAGCCCAAGGAGGAGGAGCCTAGAGGAGCTGCTGATCTTTACTCCCATTCATGGGCCATAACAATTTAACTAGGGCTGTTACAGTTACTCTTCCACTTGCTATGCTGCTGACGGAAGGCAGAGTAATTAGAGTTCCTGTTCCATGATGTGATGCTTTTGCACAGTCGAACATTTATAGCAGCCTTTCTTTGCAAACTCATATCTAATACGCTGCTCAATTTAAGTATCACACCGCATGGTGATGGACTCAGTACAAAAACCTAGATAGATAAGTTTCAGAGTAACAGCCGTGTTAGTCTGTATTCGCAAAAAGAAAAGGAGTACTTGTAGCACCTTAGAGACTAACCAATTTATTTGAGCATGAGCTTTCGTGAGCTACAGCTCACTTCATCAGATGTATACTGTGGAAACTGCAGCAGACTTTATATACACACAGAGATCATGAAACAATACCTCCTCCCACCCCACTGTCCTGCTGGTAATAGCTTATCTAAAGTGATCATCAGGTGGGCCATTTCCAGCACAAATCCAGGTTTTCTCACCCTCCACCCCCCCACACAAATTCACTCTCCTGCTGGTGCTAGCCCATCCAAAGTGACAACTCTTTACATAATCAAGTCGGGCTATTTCCTGCATAAATCCAGGTTTTCTCACATCCCCCCCACCCCTATACACACACAAACTCACTCTCCTGCTGGTAATAGCTCATCTAAACTGACCACTCTCCAAGTTTAAATCCAAGTTAAACCAGAACATCTGGGGGGGGGGGGTGGTAGGAAAAAACAAGAGGAAACAGGCTACCTTGCATAATGACTTAGCCACTCCCAGTCTCTATTTAAGCCTAAATTAATAGTATCCAATTTGCAAATGAATTCCAATTCAGCAGTTTCTCGCTGGAGTCTGGATTTGAAGTTTTTTTGTTTTAAGATAGCGACCTTCATGTCTGTGATTGCGTGACCAGAGAGATTGAAGTGTTCTCCGACTGGTTTATGAATGTTATAATTCTTGACATCTGATTTGTGTCCATTTATTCTTTTACGTAGAGACTGTCCAGTTTGACCAATGTACATGGCAGAGGGGCATTGCTGGCACATGATGGCATATATCACATTGGTGGATGTGCAGGTGAACGAGCCTCTGATAGTGTGGCTGATGTTATTAGGCCCTGTGATGGTGTCCCCTGAATAGATATGTGGGCACAATTGGCAACGGGCTTTGTTGCAAGGATAAGTTCCTGGGTTAGATAGATAAGATAAGATAGATAGATATCTATCTAGGATATCTTATCTTATCTTATCTAAGATAAGATAAGATAGATAGATAAGATTTCACCCTTCAGTATCTCAATTAGCTATTTTTGCTTCCAGGGTTTCTCATTTCCACTAAGGTTCAGTGTGTTTTAGCTGCCTTTGGTCCATATTAAATCTCATTTTGCTATTTTCTGCACATAGTTCTTTCCGCTGGTGTTTGGTGCTTCTCCTAGTTTAGTATGCTGTGTACATTTTTTAATAACCTGTTGTAAACACCCTCTTCCATGGGATTAATTCATAGTCATAGATTCCAATGCCAGAAAGGATGATGTGGATCATCTAGTCTGACTTCCTGTATAACACAGACAGTTAGTTAGTTGGTTAGTCTCTAAGGTGCCACAAGTACTCCTTTTCTTTTTACAGACAAAAGAACTTCCTAAAATAACTCCTGTTTGAGCTACAGCATATCTTTAAAAAAAAAATCCAATCTTGATGTAAAAAGCACTAGTGATGGAGAATTCACCGCAACCTTTGGTAAATTTTCCAATTGTTGATTACCCTCACTGTTAAAAATTGACACCTCATTTCCAGTCTGAATTCGTTTAGCTTCAACTTCCTACCATTGGTCTAAGATCTTGCCTGGGGAAAGGTGCGTGGTTCCGGGAGGCTCTGCTATCTATCGCTCTATGTGGTTCTGGTTCTGTGGTGAAGGGAAAGCGTGGTGTTTGTTTCTTGCTTTGAGCTTGCCGTCTCCCCAGTTTCTTGTCAAGTTAAGGAAGTATGGGCTGGTGAATGCCACAAGGTGGGTGAGCTGGCTGTTGTCGGGCTCCGGGGACAATCCTTCTTTGGCCTTCTGTTTTCCCAGGGTTTGTTCTGGGGGCGGTTTTTTTTTTTTTTTTAAATTTTTGGGGGGGGGGGGGTGTTTCTCTTATTTTGGGGGTGTCTAAATTGGGGGGGGGGGTGGGTTGGTGGGGGGGGGGGGGGGGGGAGAAAGGGGAATAATTGGGGGGTTGGGAAAAATTGGGTGTAAGGTGGGTGTTTTGGGGGGGGGGGGGGGGGGGGGGGGTTTTTTTTTTTTTGGGGGTGGGGGGGGGGGGGGGGGGTTTTTTTTGGGTGTGGCCCCTGAAGAGGGGGGGGGGGGGGGAAAAGGGGGGGGTGTGGGGGGGGGGGGGGGGGGGGGGGGGGGGGGGTGTTTGGGGGAGGGGGGGGGGGGTTGGTTTTTTGGGGGGGGTTTTTTTGTGGGGGGGGGGGTTTTGGGGGGGGGGGGGGGGGGGGGGGTTGGTTTTTTTGGTTGGGGGGGGGGGGGGGGGGGGGGGGGGGGGTTGGGGAAAGCCTGGTGGGATGATTTAATGGGAATTGGTTGTTTGAGCAGGGGGTTGGACTAGATGACCTTCTGGGGTCCCTTCCAACCCTTATATTCTATGATTCTATGATCTTGTTACATCTTTGTTTGCTAGATTCAGTAGTCCATCATCAAATATTTGTTCCCCATGTAGGTATTTACAGACTGTGATCAACTCACACCTTAACCTTCTCTTAGTTAAACTAAATAGATTGAACTCCTTGATTCTATTGCTATAAGCCATGTTTTCCAACCCTTTAATCATTATTGTGGCTCTCCTCTGAACCTCTCCAAATCATCATCATCCTTCTTGAATTTTGGACACCAGAACTGGACCCAGTATTCCAGCAGTGGTTGTACCAGTGCCAAATACATAGGAGAAATAACCTTTCTATTCCTACTCAAGAGTCCCCTGTGTCCAAGGATTGTATAAGCCCTTTAAATCATACAGTCACATAGAATCATAAAATATCAGGGTTGGAAGGGACCTCAGGAGGTCATCTAGTCCAACCCCCTGCTCAAAGCAGGACTGATCCCCAATTAAATCATCCCAGCCAGGGCTTTGTCGAGTCTGACCTTAAAAACTTCTAAGGAAGGAGATTCCACCCCTTCCCTAGGTAACGCATTCCAGTGTTTCACCATGCTCCTAATGAAAATGTTTTTCCTAATATCCAACCTAAATCTCCCCCACTGCAACTTGAGACCATTACTCCTTGTTTTGTCACATTGGGGGCTTATGTTCAGTTGATTATCCACCATGACCCCCAAGTCCTTTTCAGAGTCTGCTTCCCATGATAGAGTCCCTCGTCTTGTTCTTAGATGTATACATTTACACTTGGCCATATTAAAATGCAAATGGTTTGCTTGCGTTCCGCTTACAAAGCGATCTGGATCACTTGATGTCAGTGATCTATGTATGTAATTTAAATTTGCACTAGACTTACCACCAACCCATGTGAGTCCCCAAAACTTGATATGTTGTCATACATAATAACACTTCTGCAAGCCAACTTTTAATCTGTGTGGAGGCATGATATCCCTGCCAATTTGAATTAATTATTGCAGTTAGATTTCATGAGACATAGTTTTAGATTTTAATACAGCATTTGATACTATCACATCCACTGCATTCCCTTTATCCACTATTTTTTTAATTATAGCAACAACCTAAAAAGGCTATTATATTTGACTGGAAAGATTTGTTTAGCCACTCTTCAAGTGGTTCGTTCTTTTAATATTTGGTTTACTTTTTATTAGTAGTTTAATTATTTAAACATATATATTGGGTTAAAGAGTTTGAATGTTGACAAACTTTTATATCATTCTCTGCATTATTTCCCATTGACTCTGCTTAAGTAATTTTAACTGATTTCTGGATATCTAAGATCCCAAGGGGTTTCGTCATTGACCACACCATGTCAGTTCCCAGAAATCAGCTTGTGTCTTGATTTTTAGTCATATGAGTACCCCAGATTTTTATTATCTAATTACCATCTTCATCTTTAATTGTGTAATGAACTTCCTCTGACTGCTTATTTCAAATAGGCCTTGACAAGAAATCCCTCAGGTGATTGCCACCTCCATATTTTCTTTGGCTTCCCTGATAGCAACAACCCATCAACACATCTCCTGTGGGGCTATTAGACATGTTTGTTTTTTCCTTGCAGGATGGTCAGAAATAGAAGGGGGTCTCACGGTTACAGAAGCATATTGTTAGCGTTACAAAAGCATATTGGCGTGTCCTGATAAGTCTGTTCTTTCTTGTAGCTACACAAAGGGCGTGGACATGTGGAGTATTGGCTGTATTCTGGGGGAGATGCTGCTTGGAAAACCTCTTTTTCCTGGAACATCCACAGTGAATCAGATAGAGCAGATCTTGAGTGTCATTCCTGCCCCATCCCAGGAAGGTGAGACTTTTCCATGAAGGGAAGTATTAGCAGCCCAATTGCTAAGAGAATGACTCATAATTGGCATTCTTGCTCTCTCCCAGGAACTCAGAAGACTGAGTGGTGGAATGTTGGGAACAGCATGGAAAATAAAACCTTAAGTGATGTGATACAGCAGGGCCAGGGAGCAGTGGGAGAGGGGACATATATAAGCCTTGGGGTAATTAAAGCATGGTTCCCTGTAGACTAGGGAAGGCTACTACAGGTTAATTGGAGCACCTGTAGTCAATTAAGGCCCTGTCAGGAACCTAATAAAAAAACCCCTGCTTCAGGCAGAGAGGGTGGTGTGAAGAAGGAGAGAGGACTGGAGTTTGGAGTTGTGTTGCTGAGAATTGAAAGACCAGAGGAAGGGAGACCCTGCCCCAGCACGGCAGGGAGACTCCCTCCCCCAGTGTCTCGGATAGAGGGTAAACCTACCCAAGGGGGAAGAAGGTAAGAAGCCTGCAGGGGTTGAGAGGGGCTGGGGCTCAGAGTGAGGAACAAACCCAGACACTTCCCTCCTCTACCACCTTCCTGGGCCACTAACGGGGCCCTCAGCGCTTCAAGAGCAGGGGCAAAGAGTGGTGTCCTAGGTACCCGCCAAGAAAAGCACAGGACCCACAATACCAACATTGGCCATTTTGTCACCGTGATCAGATGACATAGATAACATACTGCTTCTAGCATGCATGGAGGTGGTTGATGACAGTAACATATATTAAGGTGATTGATGTAATAAGTGGGATGAGGTAGATGAGGCTTTCTTCCGGCAGCTCACGGAAGCTACTGGATCGCATGCCCTGATTCTCATGGGTGACTTTAATTTTCCTGATATCTGCTGGGAGAGCAATACAGCGGTGCATAGACAATCCAGGAAGTTTTTGGAAAGCGTAGGGGACAATTTCCTGGCGCAAGTGCTAGAGGAGCCAACTAGGGGGGGGCGCTTTTCTTGACCTGCTGCTCACAAACCGGGTAGAATTAGTGGGGGAAGCAAAAGTGGATGGGAATCTGGGAGGCAGTGACCATGAGTTGGTTGAGTTCAGGATCCTGACACAGGGAAGAAAGGTAAGCAGCACGATACGGACCCTGGACTTCAGGAAAGCAGACTTCGACTCCCTCAGGGAACGGATGGCCAGGATCCCCTGGGGGACTAACTTGAAGGGGAAAGGAGTCCAGGAGAGCTGGCTGTATTTCAAGGAATCCCTGTTGAGGTTACAGGGACAAACCATCCCAATGAGTCGAAAGAATAGTAAATATGGCAGGCGACCAGCTTGGCTTAATGGTGAAATCTTAGCGGATCTTAAACATAAAAAAGAAGCTTACAAGAAGTGGAAGGTTGGACATATGACCAGGGAAGAGTATAAAAATATTGCTCGGGCATGTAGGAATGTTATCAGGAGGGCCAAATCGCACCTGGAGCTGCAGCTAGCCAGAGATGTCAAGAGTAACAAGAAGGGTTTCTTCAGGTATGTTGGCAACAAGAAGAAAGCCAAGGAATGTGTGGGCCCCTTACTGAATGAGGGAGGCAAACTAGTGACAGAGGATGTGGAAAAAGCTAATGTACTCAATGCTTTTTTTGCCTCTGTTTTCACTAACAAGGTCAGCTCCCAGACTGCTACGCTGGGCATCACAAAATGGGGAAGAGATGGCCAGCCCTCTGTGGAGATAGAGGTGGTTAGGGACTATTTAGAAAAGCTGGACGTGCACAAGTCCATGGGGCCGGACGAGTTGCATCCGAGAGTGCTGAAGGAACTGGCGGCTGTGATTGCAGAGCCATTGGCCATTATCTTTGAAAACTCGTGGCGAACCGGGGAAGTCCCGGATGACTGGAAAAAGGCTAATGTAGTGCCAATCTTTAAAAAAGGGAAGAAGGAGGATCCTGGGAACTACAGGCCAGTCAGCCTCACTTCAGTCCCTGGAAAAATCATGGAGCAGGTCCTCAAAGAATCAATCCTGAAGCACTTGCATGAGAGGAAAGTGATCAGGAACAGCCAGCATGGATTCACCAAGGGAAGGTCATGCCTGACTAATCTAATCGCCTTCTATGATGAGATTACTGGTTCTGTGGATGAAGGGAAAGCAGTGGATGTATTGTTTCTTGACTTTAGCAAAGCTTTTGACACGGTCTCCCACAGTATTCTTGTCAGCAAGTTAAGGAAGTATGGGCTGGATGAATGGACTATAAGGTGGATAGAAAGTTGGCTAGATTGTCGGGCTCAACGGGTAGTTATCAATGGCTCCATGTCTAGTTGGCAGCCGGTATCAAGTGCAGTGCCCCAAGGGTCGGTCCTGGGGCCAGTTTTGTTCAATATCTTCATAAATGATCTGGAGGATGGTGTGGATTGCACTCTCAGCAAATTTGCGGATGATACTAAACTGGGAGGAGTGGTAGATACGCTGGAGGGGAGGGATAGGATACAGAAGGACCTAGACAAATTGGAGGATTGGGCCAAAAGAAATCTGATGAGGTTCAATAAGGATAAGTGCAGGGTCCTGCACTTAGGACGGAAGAACCCAATGCACAGCTACAGACTAGGGACCGAATGGCTAGGCAGCAGTTCTGCGGAAAAGGACCTAGGGGTGACAGTGGACGAGAAGCTGGATATGAGTCAGCAGTGTGCCCTTGTTGCCAAGAAGGCCAATGGCATTTTGGGATGTATAAGTAGGGGCATAGCGAGCAGATCGAGGGACGTGATCGTTCCCCTCTATTCGACATTGGTGAGGCCTCATCTGGAGTACTGTGTCCAGTTTTGGGCCCCACACTTCAAGAAGGATGTGGATAAATTGGAGAGAGTCCAGCGAAGGGCAACAAAAATGATTAGGGGGCTGGAACACATGAGTTATGAGGAGAGGCTGAGGGAGCTGGGATTGTTTAGCCTGCAGAAGAGAAGAATGAGGGGGGATTTGATAGCTGCTTTCAACTACCTGAAAGGGGGTTCCAAAGAGGATGGCTCTAGACTGTTCTCAATGGTAGCAGATGACAGAACGAGGAGTAATGGTCTCAAGCTGCAGTGGGGGAGATTTAGATTGGATATTAGGAAAAACTTTTTCACTAAGAGGGTGGTGAAACACTGGAATGCGTTACCTAGGGAGGTGGTAGAATCTCCTTCCTTAGAGGTTTTTAAGGTCAGGCTTGACAAAGCCCTGGCTGGGATGATTTAACTGGGAATTGGTCCTGCTTCGAGCAGGGGGTTGGACTAGATGACCTTCTGGGGTCCCTTCCAACCCTTATATTCTATGATTCTATAAGTCAGTCAGGCTTCCTGACCTGGTCACCTGAACACAAACTTGGAGCCTGAAATTCATAGATGGCTTTTTTTTTTTTTTTTAAGGCCAGAATGAATTATTATGATCATCTAAGCCAGTGGTTCTCAACTTATTACCATTGTGGGCTGCATCCATGCGCGCGCGCACTCGCGCGCTCTCTCTCTCCACACACACAGACACACGCACACAACCTGTATGGCCCTGAGGATGTCACATGAGCCACAGCTGTGTGCTGATTGGGCCGCTGGTTGAGAACCACTCATCTAAGCTGACTGTTTGCATAACACAGGCTATAGAATTTCACCCAAGAATTCTTGCATCAAGCCCATATGTTATGGTTGAGCTAGAGCATGGTTTTCTAGAGAGAGATCCAGTCTTGATTTAAAGATTTCCAAGTGATGGTGACTTGACCTCATCTTTTGGCAAATTGTTCCAGTGGTTAATTACACTCACTGGGGATTGTCTATGTGAACATTAGTAAATTTATAGCACAATAGTGTGCCATGTATTAACTGGCTGTGTGGATCCTGCTACAACACATTAAAAGTTCCGTGGTGCATTTTGAACTACTCCCGTTTCAAAGTGAAATAAATCAAAGTGGACTATGGCACTTCTAGTGCAAAGCAGTTGGTTCCATACAGCGAGTTAGCACAGTAGCCTGCCGGGCACTATAGACTTACACCCCAGCTAGCCATGCACTAACTGTTCATATAGACAAGCCGCTGTTAAAAATCAGTCTGAATTAGTCTTATTTCTAATCTGAATTAATCTAGCTTCAATTTGCAATCTTATTATGTCTTTAATCTATCAGACAAACAGTCCTCTACTATCAGAAATATTCTCCCGCATGCAGAAATTCCAGGATTATAAACCCTGCTCTTCCACTTACTATCTCTAGAGTACCTGCTATGGTGTACAGGAATCTCTGTCTCTCAATTGCCATCTGTTAAATGGGACTCTTGCTTATAATACCTCATAAGGTGCTGTGTTCATTTAATGTATGTAAAGCAATTGAGATTCTCTCTTGGAAAACCTTAGAGATGGGTAAAATATTATTGAATCTTCTCTACCAAAATTAACTCCTTAGGTTCAAATTCAAAGTTTCGAGTCACAAACTGCATGGCTCTTGAAATCCTGCCCATGGCGTTCATGAAATCTGTTTTCTGTTGCAGATATTTTAGCTATCCATTCGGACTACAGAGCCTCTGTTATTAACCGCATAAGTTCCAGGTAAGCCTTTTACGTTGTGTCACTAGCAGAAACCAACAGATATTGATATAATGTGGGAATAAGCTCAGCAACCAGCTGGCAGGGATCTCTGTCTACAGACTCACTTATTCATCCTCAAGGCAGTGACATTAGATAGAAACAACTGAAACAAAAACCAGTGACCGCTCATCATTCAGGACCAATATTAAAGTTGACCTGACAGCTTTTTACTTTCCATGCCCCAAATTCCAGGCTTTTATGTTGTGATGTTGTCAAAAGTAGAACGTTCCCTTTTATTCTTTGTGCTGGTTATACTCTTGAGATTATGAAGTCGAGGATAGCTGGTTCTCTCTACTATGTTGTTGTTTTTTTATTTCAAATTTATGAAAAGTTTCTTTATGTATTTTTATTAGAAACCTGATTTTTCTTAGAGCCCACGTTAAAAATTCTGTATAGCTTAAGACAGAGGATTCAGGACTCCACCCCTGTAGTAAGCAAAATTCCACTTTTATTACTACTTATTAAAAACAATCAATAAAAATGCAGGTCACATTACAACACCACAGTGCACTTCTGTTAGCTCATACATTGCACTGTAAAACCAACCAAAGTGCACATTATGGGGAGTTTTACCTTGCATTCATTTTAGTTACAGGAACAGGTTTACCTTAGGCAAACATTTATTATTATTGTATTTGTTTTAAGAAAGGTGCTAAAACTTTAAAGTTACTTATTAGAAATTGTTTTTTCTTCAAACTGCAGGGGTTTTCAGATAACTTAGTCTACCTTAAATCTGGCTAAAAATCATGTAACATATACAATCTTAGATGTTGTTCCATTTAGGCTTTTAATACTAGTGTGGAGTAATGCTTAATTTCTGTCTGGGTGTAGTTACATCTCCAGATGGGTAAGATGGGATCTTACAATTCTTTAGTTTGCCTTGACACAGTTCTTCTCCCATGGACTAGTTTTGGGTACTAGGTGCCTGGCTAGTCTACTTTGGATTCAATTCTCTGCAGGAGCTGGTGAACAGCTTTTTATATCCTAAACAATTCTCTTTTAGGTAGAGATGTTCTTTGACCTGGGGGTAATTCTGCCTCGCACTAAAATATTGAATTGTCAGTCCTCAGCTTCTGCTGACCAATGTCTCAGAAGAACTTTTTAACTTCCATCTTGGTGCTTTCCCTGAATATTTTTTGTAACTACACACTGGCTAGTCCCGTATCTGGATTTAAACCTGTTAATCTTAACCTCACACTTACATTCCATTTTCCTTCTCTTTCTCCTTTTTTGAGAGAGGTGCAAATGGCTTCCTCTTATTTAAGAATATTTTGGTGGCTACACTTTTTATAGGATGAGTTGATACACTTTTGTTTTTGTTATAATGTGACACTGTTTAGTTTTATCTGACAAAAGTGTAATTTTAGCTTTAACTTTTTGTTTCAACACTTTTTCCTCAACACTATGTATTTGTACCAACAGCCCATCATATGTTACTTAGTCTAAAACAAGTGACTACAAGTATCCCTTCCTTGGTCTTTAGGCTTTTCCCCTTCTGTTCACAGCCCTTTGCGATACCTTAATGGGAGAAAAAAAAACTAGGAGTACTTGTGGCACCTTAGAGACTAACAAATTTATTCGGGCATAAGCTTTCATGGGCTAAAACCCACTTCATCGGTTGCATGCAGTGGAAAATACAGTAGGAAGATATATATGGAAAAAATGGGTGTTGCCATACCAACTGTAACAAGACTAATCAATTAAGGTGGGCTATTATCAGCAGGAGGAAAAAAAATGTTAGTAGTGATAATCAGGATGGCCCATTTCAAACAGTTGACAAGAAGGTGTGAGTAACAGTAGGGGAAAAATTAGCATGGGGAAATAGTTTTTACTTTGTGTAATGACCCATCCACTCCCAGTCTTTATTCAAGCCTAATTTAGTGGTGTCCAGTTTGCAAATTAATTCCAATTCTGCAGTTTCTCGTTGGAGTCAGTTTTCTGAATTTTTGTTGTTGGAGAATTGCAACTTTTTAGGTCTGTCCTTGCCCTTCCTGACTGATTCTTTGGGTGGGGGTTGAAGCTTCAGAACCTCCTTAACACAACAAGTGCTGATGGATAATAATGGGGTGTGATTGGTTGTCACCCCGGGGTGCAGTCTCGGAGTTGTGGGCACTGTGGGGCCCCTCTAATCACTCAGTTGGGTTGGCCCTACTCACCCTGGTTGGGGACACAGCCAGCCTAACCCAGGCCGTGTTATCACCCAACACGACAGCAGGTGGCACCACACACCCAAACTGAGCTACCTGAGAGAGCAGCTTCACGGAAGCTACTCAAATACATGCAGCAGACAGCAGCCAATTTCCCAGCTTTCCAGACTCATCTCCTTCTTCTCTACCCCCCTTCTCCCCCCCACACTGGAGTATAAACCCAAAATTATACCGTCTTGTGCTGCACAGGGAACTGTACAGCATAAGCTCATAAAATTCACCCCTTCCCCCAACGTGGAGAAGAATATGCAACAGCCTTTGCCCCTTGAACTAAGATTCCCATACACGTCACTCCAACTCACTGGTTTAGATCGGGGTGGGAAAACTTTTGGGCTGAGGGCCGCATCTGGGTCGGGAAATTATATGTGGGGCAGGGGGTTGGGGTGTGGGAGGGAGTGCGGTGTGCAGGAATGGATTCAGGGCCAGAGATTGGGGGAGAGGAGAGGTGCAAGGTGTATAAGGGGGCTCAGGGAAGGGGGTTGGGGTGCAGGAAGGGTGTGGGGTATGGCAGGGAGTTGGGGTGCAGCTGGGGGCTCAGGGCAGAGGGTTGGGGTGCGGCAGGGGGGTTGGGGTGCAGGAGGGGTGCTGGGGGCTTAGGGCAGGGAGTTTGGGGGGTGGGGTGTAGGAGGGGTTCGGGGTCCGGCCCAGCACCACTTACCTAAAGCAGCTCCGGGGTGGCAGTGTTGCACACCGGGGACAGGGCAGGCTCCATGCCTGCCCTGGCCCCGCACCGCTCCGGGAACCGGACGGAACCACGTCCCTGTGCAGCCCCTGAGGGAGCGGAGACACAGGGCTCCATGCGCTGCCCTTGCCACGCCTCCAGATACCTCCCCCAAAGCTCCCATTGGCCGCAGTTCCCCCTTCCCAGCCAATGGGAGCTGCAGGGGGCGGTGCCTGGAGGCAAGGGCAATGCACGGAGGCCTCTGGCACACCCCCCGCCCCTCCATCCCCCAGGGATGTGGTGCCAGCCACTTCTGAAAGCGGTGCAGGGCCTGCAGCTTCACGAGGTGCAATCCCATGGGCTGGATCTGGCCTGCAGGCCGTAGTTTTGCCCACCCCTGGTTTAGATAAACAAAAACAAGTGTATTAGATAAACACAAGGTAGATTATAAGTGATAGTAAACAGATCAAAGCAGATTTCAGAGGAACAGCCGTGTTAGTCTGTATTTGCAAAAAGAAAAGGAGTACTTGTGGCACCTTAGAGACTAACCAATTTATTTGAGCATGAGCTTTGAAGTGAGCTGTAGCTCACGAAAGCTCATGCTCAAATAAATTGGTTAGTCTCTAAGGTGCCACAAGTACTCCTTTTCTTAGATCAAAGCAGATTACTTAGCAAATAAACACAAACTAAGCTTAATATACTAAATAGACTGGCTATGAATAGCAGATTCTCACCCTAAGAGATGATACAAGCAGGCTGTAGATTTTTAAGGGGCAAGCTGCACTTACTTTACAGCTTGGAATCCCCAGGTGTCTCATTCACAGGCTAGAAATCCCTTTAGCCTGGATCCAGCACTTCCCCCAGTTCAGTCTTTGTTCCTCAGGTGTTTAAGAACATAAGAAACATAAGAACAGCCATACTGGGTCAGACCAAAGGTCCATCCAGCCAAGTATCCTGTCTACCGACAGTGGCCAATGCCAGGTGCCCCAGAGGGAATGAACCTAACAGGTAATGATCAAGTGATCTCTCTCCTGCCATCCATCTCCACCCTCTGACAAACAGAGGCTAGGGACACCATTCCTTACCCATCCTGGCTAATAGCCATTAATGGACTTAACTGGATAAATTCATGGAGGCTCTCTTTTAAACCCTATTATAGTCCTCGCCATCACAACCTCCTCAGGCAAGGAGTTCCATAGGTTGACTGTGCGCTGAATGAAGAAGAACTTCCTTTTATTTGTTTTAAACCTGCTACCCATTAATTTCACTTGGTGGCCCCTAGTTCTTATATTATGGGAACAAGTAAATAATTTTCCCTTATTCACTTTCTCCACACCACTCATGATTTTATAGACCTCTATTATATCCCCCCCCTTAGTCTTCTCTTTTCCAAGCTGAAAAGTTCTAGCCTCTTTAATCTCTCCTCATATGGGACCTGTTCCAAACCCCTAATCATTTTAGTTGCCCTTTTCTGAAACTTTTCTAATGCCAGTATATCTCTTTTGAGATGAGGGGACCACATCTGTACGCAGTATTCAAGATGTAGGCGTACCATGGATTTATATAAGGGCAATAATATATTCTCCGTCTTATTCTCTATCCCTTTTTTAATGATTCCTAACATCCCATTTGCTTTTTTGACTGCCACTGCACACTGCGTGGATGTCTTCAGAGAACTATCCACGATGACTCCCAAGATCTTTCTCCTGATTAGTTGTAGCTAAATTAGCCCCCATCATATTGTATGTATAATTGGGGTGGTTTTTTCCAATGTACATTACTCTACATTTATCCACATTAAATTTCATTTGCCATTTTGTTTGCCCAATCACTTAGTTTTGTGAGATCTTTTTGAAGTTCTTCACAGTCTGCTTTGGTCGTAACTATCTTGAGCAGTTTAGTATCATCTGCAAACTTTTCCACCTCACTGTTTACCCCTTCTCCAGATCATTTATGAATAAGTTGAATAGGATTGGTCCTAGGACTGACCCTTGGGGAACCACCACTAGTTACCCCTCTCCATTCTGAAAATTTACCATTTATTCCTACCCTTTGTTCCCTGTCTTTTAACCAGTTCTCAATCCATGAAAGGA